AAAAAAAAAAAAAAAAATTTGTGTGGAGAAAATGTAAGAAAAAAATTAATGTGAAAAGATATGAAGAAAGAAAGAAGAAGTACTGAGCTAGTCTAGCCTTTCTGTTATAGCTGCTGCTTGCTATAATTATAGTAAAAATAAACTGAAGCTTAAATAACAGTGGAAGTTATAAATGATTCAAAGGAGATTGTACAAGCTGGAATTGCTTTGGTATTTTCAAAGTTTAGTGTAGAAATTATGCGGCAAGCCTAGCTGCAGTTAGGATGGCCTGGAATATTAGCAGTATTGTAAGGAAAAATTTGCTGAATCACGAATAATCCTAAACTCTAAAGCTTGTTTTCTCTCACTATTCTGGTCTTTTCGTAAAGTTTCTTGGTTTCAAAAAAAAGTCATATTCTATAAATAAAATAACTATAAGTGAAAAAACCTCGGTGAGCGTTATTCTTGTTTTTTTCTTTTTTTTGCTGGTGAGCGATTAGAGTGTTACTTGTTCAAAATGCAAGATTATTACTAATAGCTTTTTCAAATCCTGCAACTCATAAACATTATTGTATTGTTCAGTTTTTCTAGGCTAATAAAACAGTTGCTAAAACATTTCTTTGTTGCAGCTTGACGTTTCGGATGAAAAAGTTTCATGGCCTAAAAAGTGCAGGCTTTAATAAGCAGAAAAAATGGTTTGTTTAATCAAAATCTTTTTTGTCATCAATTTGACCCAATTTTTTTTGGATGACAAAAAAAAGCTTTTTTTGTTTTCAAAAAAATTTGTTAAATTGATAGTTTACAGGTACGACTGGTCATCCGGACCAAGCCACAGTAGCGAAAGTAAACGTTGAAATGCTCCTCATAATGGTACTCGCACAACATCAATTGCTGTTGAAATTTTTACGCTGAATGTATTCTGTACTTGTATTTCTGAACCAGTTTGATGACAGTAAAAACGTTAAACAAAAGTACCACTTCTTTTTAAAAGACTAGTAATTTTTAAAACAATCAGGCTAGCAACAGTTTTGATAATCTTAGAAAAGTTACTTACTTTATAACGTTTCCCTGTCAGTTTGCAAGAACAGTAAAAAAAAAACTCAGAAGGCTGGAAATTAAGTGTTGAAATTAGACTCATTTACTGAGCCAAGTGTGAAAAGAATTTTGGCTGTAATGGCAATAGAGAAGTAACTTGTAGATGGTGTAATGCTTCAGAGCATTACTACTAAACGTTCGTTTAACTCATTTTCTGGTGAGTATACAAGTGAACAACACGAACAACTCCGCCTTGAGCAGTTAGTGTGGAAGCACTAATCGGCAAAGGAAAAATAATTGAAAGTTGTTGTTAAATCCTCAGTTGTTTTTTTTACATTAAACATTTTTAGGAAACCTTATAAACTTATCAGTAATAATAGTTTAAAACTATGTTTTTCTTAAAATAAATGCCTCTGAACTACTCTTGTCAGTTTTAGCACTGTCTTTTTTCAAAAGCTCAGCTTGAATTCAAAGAAAATTCATTAGCTATCAACTTTTTTAACCTTATTAGCTTCAAAAAATTCTTTACTATTTACTTCATTGTCATCCTTCTTACACTTTTGTAATTTAAACAAGTTACGAAAGCATTATTAACAACTCGAAGCAATAATAGAATTTTAGACATCAATAACCGAAATAACGTAGCATCCCAACTGTGGATAAACTTTTGATAAACATTGGGAAATAAAACGCAGCAAAATAAACCAGAATAAAAATTTAAAATTTTTTTCATAAAGATTACTACCAGTATTCTAAACAGCAAAAAAAAATGTATTTTTGGAATTCAGCTGTCATTTGAAAATGGTTATAAATGACTTAAAATATTCCTAACTGTTACCCAACAAAGATGTAGTCAGTCGACATGAAAAGTTCATAGCTCAAATTGTTTGTGTTCTATAAAACTTAAGTCGACATTCACCGTATCAATAATATAAAAACTGCTCATTACTCATTCTGTTTGGTCCATTTTCTACTCATATACAGTACTGTTAGAGAAAATACGTTACTGATCGCAAAGTGAAAGTTTAAAAATAATGAAAGAAAACAAGCCAGTTTTAATACGATTGTATATACATATT